CTTTATTTGCGCAATCGTGTACGTACCTGTATTTGAAGTTACAGCTGCAATGAGGCATGCGTCCTTACGCCAACTCACATGCTAAGATATAAAAACGTTAACGACGCTTTATTTCTCATTCTTTCCAATTTTCATCAAAGACTGCTGAAGTTGATACCAGACGAGGAGAGGCAAGATCGTTAAAGAACTGTGAAAGATGTTTAAGGTATTTAAACTCAATATGCCCTTTTTATCAGCTATAAGGCTGAATTACCAAGTACAATATCTTGTATAATTGCTATTTTTTATTTGAGAGAAAAGGATGAAAACAGGTTGTTGACTGATTCTACGTCGTCACAAGGGCAATTGGGAAATTGTGTGAATTCAAGCTCGGTTCTAAATTTTCCCGTGAGCCTCGGGTATCACTTGATAATTGAATTGTCGTTAACTATTCATTGTTGTTTCCGTGAGATTTGGGGTCGAAACGAAATTTTTTTTCGTTTAGTCGGCTTAGAATTATATTTTGGACAATGCTTCAGCTATTTGTGTTCAGTCGGTTTATTTTTTTATTTATTTATTTAACAGTTTCAAACCTGACTTCCTAAATGGTAAAAGTCGACTATTTTTCAGTTTACCGCTGTTTGTTTTTAGATCGTTATTTTCGTCCTTGCGCTTGGATGCTTCATATTTACAGATGCAAGAAAACTCCGTGAAAACTATTCGAATGAAGACAACGAAATTGGTGCCATAGAAAGGTATAATATTGTTTTCATGTATGTTTTTATAAATAATTAATAAAGCAAAATTAATCGCGGTTAATCAATAAACTTCAGGACCGCGCCCCAATAGTATTAGGTTAGTATTAGGCCCCAATAGTATTAGGTTAGTATTAGGCTATTTTCAAGCCGCGTTGCTTTTCTTCCCGAAATTACGCTACTTCTCCATTGAATTTCAATAAAAAATTGAAAGAAGGGCACATCCGAACAATCTGAATCTAAGTTAATGTAGCAAGATAAGTTATATGTGCAAAAATAATACTCATAATAAACAATTAACGCTTACCTCGACCTTGATAAGTGATAAGTCTGCATATCACAAAAACCGAATTCAATAATTGTTTTATTATACATTTGAAGAATAATAAACATAGTATGAACGAATGAAAAACCTTATTTAATGGCAACATCCAAAAATACGTTTAAGTGAATACCGCTTGTTAACCACCGCAGGCTCAATTGCAGATAACTCAGTTATCTGCTAGCAGATAACTGAATTTTGCGTGATTGCGCGATTTATCTGTCAACTATTAGCCAATCAAATTGCTTTTACTACTATAATGTATAATAATAAGGATAAAGCACTCTGTGAGTGCATTATCGGTTTTACATGCACGAGTTCACAAACAAGGAACGAGAAGTTCAATACTCCACGAGGCGAAGCCGAGTGCAGTATTGAACTTCGAGTTCCTTGTTTGTGAACGAGTGCATGTAAAACCCGATAATACACAAACAAAGAGTGCTTTAATGCTTTTAATATTCATTTTGAGTAAACTCGTAAAGACTTTATATCATTTTAAAACTTAAATAAACAACACATGCATACCTTTAAATACTAAAACACCCTATCCGGTTCCCCGTTTAGTATTTTTCCGTGTTGATTTATCTATAATTACATTAATTTCTTCTTCACTAAGTTCGGCAATTTTTGTTTTATGCCGCCATTTGATCGTGCAATAAATCCTATAACGGCACTGCCTGGCGTTGTTGCTATATGAAATTCACTCACGTGATACAAATCGACCAATCAGAACGTAAGTTTACAAAAAATGAATATTATAATATTTATCATTCACTTATCGTTCTCAATTTTGATTGGTTAATTTACCTGCAGGTAACTGTGTGCAAATAATACTCTGAGCTTGCGGATTGGCTTCAATTTTGTAAACAATACAGTATAACGGCGACTCGCTTTGCCGAACTTTCAGAAAATGAGTTGTATTGCTTACTCTAAGAAAAAAACGCGGAAAATACCAAAAATTAATAAGATAATGATAATGATAAAACAATTATTGAGCTCGGTTCCCCTAAAATTCGTGATTTATCGGTGGTTCGCAGATCATTATTTGCCTCTGTCTTCGGCATCGACAAATAATGGATCTGCTCGCCACCGACAATCACGTATTTTGCTCAAGCTCGTCCAATAATTGATTAACATCTTACAAACGCTTTGGGGTGCGACATTTATAGTAAACTGAACGCATCATGATCATATTATATCATATAAGATATTTTTTGGATATTAAAGTCTGGAAATACCTGAAGTCCTGCCTTGCATCTTTCGAACCTTAAATAGAGAATATGAGTGTTTTCAAGCGGCTTGTCATTAGCTATTTGCAACCGTATATTCAGCGGCGTCTCCAGCATCGTTAAGTGAAGGGGGGAGACATATTCATATATTAATGTTCACAAACTGTAAAAACAGCCAATTTGAAAAGAAATGGATAATGTAGAGCACGAATATTTGAATATGTCCCGCCTCCGCGCCACTCCAACTTTTCGAGCTGGCGACGCCACTGCGTGAGTGCGTGTATTGTGTAGAAAGCGGTTAAAACAGCTTTAACTTCCCATTTTACTGTGCTCTTGGTATTCAATGTTCTCTCAAATGCAGTATAAATTGTGACATAAATATTTACAGGTTTACACCAATTTCCGCCACAGCTAGCATATTGAAAAACTAACCGTTATTAACAACAATTCTTTCAGAGAAGATGGACACAAAAACGGCTATCCATTATAATCTGCGACTCACCGATGTGTGCAAGAAAACTACTCCAATAAGCAGGTGCTTTGCAGTAAAAATCAGGTCTGGTGCATAAAGAATTATTCTTTTTTACTTGTTTTTTTGCATGACCTTTCCTCCGGTTGAAACCTTTATGAATATTTTCTCAATTTTTTTTATACAAGTTATATTTTTATATAATTTATTTAGAATGGGGTCTGCGATGCCTACTTTCATAACTGAAGTTATATATCCTTCCTGTTGACGATTGAAAATGTTTGTGCCGATATGATTGCGATAAATAAACTTTAAAAAATTCTTATAATAATAATAACGCGTGTAATATAGTAGATAATATCGATTGAAAATATAAAATGGCATATTGCTATTGCACTGTTTATTTCTTTCAAACACCTTTCCCGTAAAAGCTACGTACCACCAAAAAATGCAAACAACATGGGCCACGTTTCCTCTTCATATTAGCAATTTTCCCACCAGTTTATTAATTTCTTAAAATTTCTGACTTGACAAAAGTGAATAATTTATCACACGAACTAAACCGAGAGAGTCTTTTTTTTCGCAAAAGACTTATTCTCCCACGCGGCCAATCTTATTTTTGGTCAATCGAAATAAGTGGTGTTCGCATATGACATATTTGTGACCATCTTATTCGCGTTCAGCGGCTCATTCGACTTCCTGCTTCTTCGTGATACTTCAGCGGTTTCATTCGACTTCCAGTTTCTTTGCGCATATCGGCTGTGGGTGAGGACTTTTTTCTGGCATACGACACGTTACGCTAACAAAAAGTGCAAAAATAGTGCGTTTTACTATGCGTACTCTATCAAGTATTTGTACTCAAATCAAAACTTGCGTCTGACGCATATTTTCTGTATTCGATCTAGTTCATACAATCATTCAAAAATTTAGTAATATAGCCGATTATGTTGCATGCTAAAATGGGGATAGGTAATCGACTCCTCAACTCTTTATTCCCCTCTTAAAGCCGTCCTTCCAAGCTAACCTGCGCTATTCTTGCAATGCCCACGCACTAGCTGCCATGCACCAAGCATGCAATCTTCTTAATTTATAAACTTTTAAAACACTTCATTTAACTTGAGCAAACGCTTGCAAACGCTTGTAAAACACATATCCTTTACTGTAGCCGCGGCGGACAATTTATCTTAGCTACCATGATAATTCTATATTTTAGTTTTGAGAGTACGCGCCGCGAATGTATACAAGTGGTATAGTAGGAAAATTACGGTAGCTATAAAAGTTTCGCTACGTCAATTGCGTCATGTTGCGACTTTTGAATTATCTTATCTCCTGCAGAGTACGGTTTTAAATGCATGCATCGCGCCAAATGACCCTGCTACTCGTACCATCCGTACCATTCGTATCCACTCGAATATGACACCGTGCAAGCCTACTGTAGAGAATAGACTATAAACGTGCGAAAAATCTAAAAAACAAACGATGTTCATCGAGTGAAGTGCAGTTGTGACGCGAGTTTTGCGTGTATTCTTTTCTTCGCACTGCTGATTAGACTGGAACACGAAAACAGCAATGAGGTTTTTATCTTCAATTTCAAGTTTCTTCAACGTTAAATGTCGGCTAATACGCACGTGTTCAATGCAAATGATACGTAGGTTAGCATCTGACATGCTACGCTATCAAACGAAAACGAAACATTGCCATTCTCTGCAATACCTGGCCCAAAAGGAACGATTTCAAATATCCTGGGTATACGTTTGGTAAGGGAACGCATTACGAAAAAGTAACGAAACGTTTCAAAAGTTCGGCCCAATATATCGAGAGAAATACTGGACATGGAAATTGTGAACTTTTACGATGAGATTCTTGGCTACGGTTTTAAAGATCGAAGCAAATTTCCCAATGAGAGCTGGCTTAGAGTCAATTATGACGGTGTTTGGCAGAAATGTGACTGGGATCCTATCTTGTGATTATGACGAGTGGTATGCGGATCGATCATTGCTATCGCCGATGTTTTGCGACCCAAAGAGATCAATGAAAGAATATCCATGATCAATGCTGTGGCCAACGACTTCGTTGAGCGATTACACACATCTTAGAGATCAAATGGAACAATACACAACATTGAAAGGGAACTTTCTTATTGGAGCGTTGAGTCAAACTCTTCATTCCTGTTTAATCGACGCCTTGGCTTCTATGAGAAAACACCAGATGCAGATGTTCTCGTGTTTTTCGAGGCAGCCTGCAAAATGAAGGATAACGTTGGATTTCTCATTGATATGGGTCCATTTCACAAGTATATACCGACACCAGCATATTATGCAGCAAAGCGGAATATGAATACAATGCATGAGTCCTACATCAAATTGTCCAAAAAAAGAGAGGCGAAGAGTGGGGAAGACGCGATTGAAAAAACGACGTCGGTTGCTGATCATGTATTTGCGAAACGGAAATTGACAAAAGAAAGTCTCACTATGCTTGCTGGTTTAATGGCTGCTGGAGTTGATACCATCAGTACGACATCGTTGTGGCTCCTATACTTACTCTCTCGAAATCCAGACAAACAAGAGAAACTCTATCAGGAACTAAAACCCTTGGATTCTGACGAAGATATATCCGTTAATAAAACCGCCTCGTACCTCAAAGCAATCTTGAAAGAGTCGTTACGCCTGCACCCAGTCGCTTCCATTTTCAGCCGCGTATTCACCCAAGATATCGAGCTTCATGGTTATCACATACCAGCAGGAGTAAACATCCTGTTTCAAAATCATTTAGGGTCGATTGATGAGCGCTATTTTGGCGAAGATGCAAAGCAGTTTGTGCCAGAAAGATGGCTTCGTGATCTTGATACTGAAAATGTAAAGAGTTTTGATCCCCTCGGTTCATTGCCATTCGGTCACGGTGTGAGAATGTGTTTAGGACGGCGAGTAGCAGAGGCATATATCTACACGTTATTGAGCAAGATATTCATGAAATACCGAGTAGAGTTGTCTAGTAAACAGAGTGATGTAAATCCGATCTTGAATGGAGGACTTATGAGGCCAGATCGGGAAATTTTATTCAAATTTCTATTGAGATAGAATACTTAAAATATATGAACACATACATTTTTGATACTAGAAAAAGTTTCATGTAATTTTAAAGCATGATCCCGCTTTCGAGGTCTAGCTGAGATCGTTCTAATTCATGTTTTGTTTTTAAATGATGACCGTTTTGAGAATTCTTTTTTTTACTTGTTTTTTTACATATTTAGTCAGTCTATAAAAAGACAGTTGCATGACCTTTCCTCCGGGTGAAACCTTAATGAATATTTCTCAAATTGTTTTTACACAAGTTATATTTTTATATAATTTATATAGAATCAGGTCTGCGATGCCTACTTCATAAACTGAGTCAATATAAATGGCATATTGCTATTGCACTGTTTATTTTCTTTCAAACACTTTCCCGTAAAAGCTATGTACCACCAAAAAATGCAAACAACATGCGCCACGTTTCCTCTTCATATTAGCCATTTTTCCACCAGTTTATTAATTTCTTAAAATTTCTGATTTGACAAAGTGAATAATTTAATAACACGAACTAAACCGAGAGAGTCTTTTTTTTTCGCAAAAGACTATTCTCCCACGCGGCCAATCTTAATTTTGGTCAATCGAAATAAGTGGTGTTCGCATGTGACATATTTGTGACCATCTTATTCGCGTTCAGCGGCTCATTCAACTTCTTGCTTCTCCGTGATAACTTCAGCGGTTCATCCAGTTTCTTTGCGCTTTACATCGGCTGCGGATGCATGAGAACTATTTCCTGGCATACGACACGTTACGCTAACAAAAAGTGCAATAATAGTGCGTTTTATTATGCGTACTCTATCAAGTATTTGTACTCAAATCAAAACTTGCGTCTGACGCATATTTTTTGTATTCGATTTAGTTCATACAATCATTCAAAATTTAGTAATAGCCGATTATGTTGTATGCTAAAATGGGGATAGGGAATCGACTCCTCAACTCTCTTTCCCCTCTTAAAACCGTCCTTCCAAGCTAACCTGCGCTGTTCTTGCAATGCCCACGCACTAGCTGCCATGCACCAAGCATGCAATCTTCTTAATTTATAAACTTTTTCCACTTGTAAAACACTCCATTTAACTTGAGCAAACGCTTGTAAACATATATCCTATACTGTAGCCGCGCGGACAATTTTATCTTAGCTACCATGGGTATATATTCTATATTTTAGTTTTGTGAGTACGCGCCACGAATGTATACAAGTGGTATAGTAGGAAAATTACGGTAGCTATAAAAGTTTTCACTACGTCAATTGCGTCATGTTGCGACTTTTGAATTATCTTATCTCCTGCAGAGTACGGTTTTAAATGCATGCATCGCGCCAAATGACCCTGATACTCGTACCATCCGTACCATTCGTATCCACTCGAATATGACACCGTGCAAGCCTACTGTATAGGGATAGACTAAACGTGCGAGAAATCTAAAAACAAACGATGTTCATCGAGTGAAGTGCAGTTGTGACGCCAGGTTTTGCGTGTATTCTTTTCTTCGCACTGCTTGATTAGACTGGAACACGAAAAAACAGCAATGAGGTTTTTATCTTCAATTTCAAGTTTCTTCAACGTCAAATGTCGGCTAATTACGTGCGGTTCAATGCAAATGATACGTAGGTTAGCATCTGAGATGCCTACGCTATCAAACGAAAACGAAACATTGCCATTCTCTGCAATACCTGGCCCAAAAGGAACGATTTCAAATATCCTGGGTTATACGTTTGGTAAGGGAACGCATTACGAAAAAGTAACGAAACGTTTCAAAAAGTTCGGCCCAATATATCGAGAGAAAATACTGGACATGGACATTGTGAACTTTTACGATGTAGATTCCTTGGCTACGGTTTTAAAGATCGAAGCAAATTTCCCAATGAGAGCTGGCTTAGAGGCAATTACGGCGGTATTTGGCAGAAATGTGACTGGGATCCTATCTTGTGATTATGACGAGTGGTATGCGGATCGATCATTGCTATCGCCGATGTTTTTGCGACCCAAAGAGATCAATGAAAGAATATCCATGATCAATGCTGTGGCCAACGACTTCGTTGAGCGATTACACCATCTTAGAGATCAAAATGGAACAATACACAACATTGAAAGGGAACTTTCTTATTGGGGCGTGGAGTCAAACTCTTCATTCCTGTTTAATCGACGCCTTGGCTTCTATGAGAAAACACCAGATGCAGATGTTCTCGTGTTTTTTGAGGCAGCCTACAAAATGCACGATAACGTTGGAGTTCTCATTGATATGGGTCCATTTCACAAGTATATACCGACACCAGCATATTATGCAGCAAAGAGGAATGTGAATACAATGCATGAGTCCTACATCAAATTGTCCAAAAAAAGAGAGTCGAAGAGTGGGGAAGACCCGATTGAAAAAACGACGTCGGTCGCTGATCATGTATTTGCGAAACGGAAATTGACAGAAGAAAGTCTCACTATGCTTTGTGGTTTAATGGCGGCTGGAGTTGATACCATCAGTACGACATCGTTGTGGCTCCTATACTTACTCTCTCGAAATCCAGACAAACAAGAGAAACTTTATCAAGAACTAAAACCCTTTGATTCGCACGAAGATATATCCGTTAATAAGACCGTCTCGTACCTCAAAGCAGCCTTGAAAGAGTCGCTACGCCTGCACCCAGTCGCTTCCATTTTCAGCCGCGTATTCACCCAAGATATCGAGCTTCATGGTTATCACATACCAGCAGGAGTAAATATCCTGTTTCAAAATCATTTAGGGTCGATTGATGAGCGCTATTTTGGCGAAGATGCAAAGCAGTTTGTGCCAGAAAGATGGCTTCGTGATCTTGATACTGGAAATGTGAAGAGTTTTGATCCGCTCGGTTCATTGCCATTCGGTCACGGTGTGAGAATGTGTTTAGGAAGGCGAGTAGCAGAGGCATATATCTACACGTTATTGAGCAAGATATTCATAAAATACCGAGTAGAGTTGTCTAGTAAACAGAGTGATGTAAATCCGATCTTGAATGGAGGACTTATGAGGCCAGATCGGGAAATTTTATTCAAATTTCTATTGAGATAGAATACTTAAAATATAAGAACACATACATTTTTGATACTAGAAAAAGTTTCATGTAATTTTAAAGCATGATCCCGCTTTCCAGGTCTAGCTGAGATCGTTCTAATTCATGTTTTGTTATGAAATGATGACCGTTTATGAGATTTAGAGTCTAATGTTCAACGATTGTAATACTATAGTACAATAATTAAAACACTGGTAGTATTAATTTCACACATGCTTGTCCAATACTGCAGCAAATACATATACCAATCATACCGGTACCGTCGGTAGTCTATATATTTTCGTTTCGTAAATATGCACACGAATGTGTATATCAACGGTAAAAAGGAAATTACCATTGGTATGAAAGTCAGTTTCGTTTCGTCAATTGTGTCATGCTGCGATTTTTGTTTTGTCTTTTAGCTGAAAGTCTTGTGCATGCACGCCTAATTGACCTTACAAATGGTACCATTCGTACCATTCGCAGCCATGGAATTTGCTTATTTACCATTCGTATCCACTTGAATATGACACCGTTTCCTAATGAATAAAGACTAAACGGCTGAAACCGCGCAAATAATGCAAGCGCAGCGTCGCACTGAAGTTAAAAAACTTTTATTATTAACTTTTATCATTGCCTGCCTATATCGGAATATAGAATAAACGGCCCAAAACGCGCAAATAATCGGCTAGCGCTGTGTCGCACTGAAGTTAAAAAAAAACCTTTTATTATTAACTTTTATCATTGCCTGCCTATATAGGAATATATTACACTAAACGGCCTAAAACGCGCAAATAATGCTTGCGCTGTGTCGCACTGCAAGAAGTTAAAAAACTTTTATTAACTTTTACCATTGCTCTGCTCTCAAAACACCGCACAAAAGCTGAAGTGATATTACAACTGATATACTATATTGCGACTATATACATTCGTGATTGCTCCGTCTTTGAAACACCACACAAAATTTGAAGCGATATCCGAAATCATATGTATATATACATATTTGGCTGTGGATCAAACCTTAACATCAGTTAGCTTCTGTGCGCTTTGTTTCGTCCGCTCAAAAGTAAGTGTATCTATGTGCATCACAGAATATTGCCAAAATTTAACCGATCAGTATTTCTTATTAAATGCCTGTCAAGCCCACGGGTGCACAAACGTGCAGAATCGAATAAAACAAAATAATGCATGGCACGAATTATTACTGCTCATTAATTTCGCAATGGCGTTGTTCAGGGTTGTGCTTTTAAGCGGTGGATTTAAGAGAACCTTTCTCAAAACTTTTTTTTGACTACGGAATTATTCTGCCAAATTTTGCTTTTAGAAGTTAAGTCAAATTCCCAGGAGCAGAAAGGCTTTTTGTGTTTGTAACAAAGAGATGTAATATATGCAAAAAGCTAGCAATATTTTACACATCATGCATCAAAGGACTTAGCGTAGTGACAGGGCGTTTAAATTATAACAGTAGTTTAATTTCTAAAGGTCTTCTTTTTTATACACCCTGTATTTCGATCTTTTTGGTGTATGTGAAATGGGTGTCATATGCATAATCTTTTTCATTGTTTAAAGAACGAGCTTCAAACTCTTTCTTATGAAATTTTTGTAAAGCATGCCAGCTGTCTCTCAGGCTCTCGTGCAATTAAAAACAATAACACGAATTCCTTTGCCTATTCGGCCAATCAGAGCCGAGAATTTTGATGACGTGAAGGGAAACTTGAATCATAAACTTCATGCTTTTACGCAGAAAGCCATTCTTGAACATTTTCTTGTTGGGGCTAGATGTTACGCCTCAAGTTCGGCAAAAGAAACTACAAGAGAAGCGAACGTTTCATGTTCAATTAACAAGACGTCTATCTTGTTAGCCATGTTGTTGTTGGTGACTACAGGTATTAAATAAATGATTTCTAAATGTACTCCGTCCGCTATTCCGCTATGGATCAACGCCTTTTCTTGAACCCAAACGGCAAACGTTTGCATTGCCGGTTGCTAAAATTTGCCGCTGATTTTGTCCGCTTTTTGCGGCCTAAATCTTCTCAATATTTGACTAGTTTTGCCGTCATAACCTTCCTGTAACTCATGCAATGTATTTGTTATTGCTTTAGAGCGAAAATCCTTGGGGAAAAGGGTGCTTTCTGAGGAAATATGACCTCGTGTAAGGTTAGTTTATGCAAAACTATATTTCAGATTGCTCTCTATAGCAAAGCTTCCACAATGGGATGAAATTTTCTTTCAAATGACAACCACGAGAGAGAGAGAGAGGGATCTGTGTATTAGATATATTGGCCAGCTGATCTGCATAGGTATAAAAATCAACCAATCAGAAGCCAGATCTTCGACAAAACTGAATTATCATTTCCTCATTGCATATGACTTCGACTCGAAAATATCAAGTAATTTTATTATATTTAGGCGAAAACACGCTTATTTTTTCGCAACTGTAAATTAGAATTCAAATTTTTCGCCCTTTATTCTATTAGTTAGGAGAATAAGGACAAATAAAACCAGGCGTATGATAATTCAGTTATGTCGAGACGCCTTATGACGTCGTGATCTCAGATCAGCTGGTTATGCATTCTTTTCAAAATTTTTTTACTCTTCTCATTGCCATGCCCCTTTGACGACAGCCATATGCAAATAAGTTGTGGAACCCTGCTCTACAGGCAAATATAGGTACTATTAGCATAGCGTGCTTGCAAACCTTCCTTGAACTTGTGAAATTTTTCAACGAAGAGATTTGATATTGTGTTACGAACTCGTGACATGATAAAGCCAGGTGCACGATTGTATTAATTTTGCTGATCAATGGTTGTCCCGTGTGGTATTTCAACAAAGTCAATGGAGAGGGCAGACAAAAAATGCTACGCCTACGGATTGTTGCAACGACTGTTCGTATTTCAGTCTAAATAGTCCGTGTATACAAGTATACACCTCACATAACGAATACACGTGTCTTTAGACCCTTAAACTGACGTCATAATCATTAAAAGTTGTCCTCAAGATGTTTCCTTGCTTCACTAAAAATAATCGTTACGCGAGCGGTGAATGTTTATATAGCGGTCAAAAACAGTTAACGAAACAAAGTTTCTCACACTAGTAGCTAAATATTTGTGTATTTTAGCCAAAATTTACGTTTTTGCTATTAATGCTTCGTTAATTTGTCCTCCTGATCCCTAATGTGACATCATGTGCAAAGGGTCTATAGCTGAAGAAAATGAACTAATTGAACTTGAAAAATGAAATATATATATAAGTCCACACAGTTTCCTGCCTAGTATTGCCTCCCTGGATGTGTAGTACTGTAGATTCCAAATTATTGCTTTACTAATCAAAACCCTTTCTTTTATTTTTAAAGAGAATCGTTCGTGATCTTCGAAAGTAAAGAACTAAGAAAGGTGACTAGAGGCAATCCCTAAGTGCGCGCAAATGTAAAAACGTTTCTGCAGAAAAATTGCACGTGCCACTTTTTTAAGGTCAAGGAAATTGATGATAGCAAGTGAGACTTCAATGGGGCGAGGGCTTGTGGGTTATTTCATTTTTGTGCATTATTGGCCTTTTGTGCAAATTTTAAATGTTTCAAGGTTTCAGCTGTGCTTTTGAATTGGGAATCTTTGTGAACTCTCCAGTGACATCGTAAATCAGTCGCCTGCAACTGAGCGTGCTTTGAACGTCCGGCTGTGATGTTGACTTTCCCCGGGTGCCAGTGTTTATTGTGTTCAGGGCAAGCTGTTAATTGTCTTTTATATTCAGTACCAATGTACTAAATGTGCCCTCAAATTGAAACCCCAAAGAAAGTGTGCGGGTGTCCTTGCACTTATACATTACTATTACAGAAAATACTGAGTATTACAGAAAATACGTATTATAATAGACAATAGAAACTACGTAAAAAGTAAACCTTTTGAAAAATATAATTTACGTTTTGACAAAAGTTATAATCATCATCGTTAATAATTTTGTCATTCTTTTTCTGATAATGACTATATTCTAGTCACAACGTAGAATATTGTAATTTTCAAAATGCTTACTTCGTACGGAGTTTCTATTGTTTTATATTACCTTTCTCTATAGTTGGTCATTTTTCACTTGTTCATAAGTTATATAATTCTTCACAAGGTATATAAATTAAGTTATTCTTCAAAAGTTATATAATTTTTCTGGCAAAGAGTTTGAACTGACTAATTGTAACTCATGGACTAGGAATTTATATGATGTCTTAGATGACAATTTTTTTATGTTGAAAGGTAGTTATCCAACACAAGACCAATTAACGCAGTTTGTCTGTAGATAATCAAATTAAGGATACCCGTTCTAAAAGACAAGAGTGTTGGATCGGGGCATGTGAGTAAAATTTGACCTCCTTGCGCAAAAATTATGTTGTATCCGTGAATATATTTGCGGACATGCAGTAGCCATGCAACCAAATCAACTTTATCCCCATATCAATTTATGGGACTCCTGGTATGCCCAAATATATGAAAAGTTTAGGAACAAGAGGAAGACAATAACGGTTCCGGAGGTCATGAACAAGAAAAGGAAGGCAGTTAATGACAACAAGAAGGTGGCGAACATTGCAAAGTCCCTTCAGAGAGGGGGTATCAACTGGGATCCTCCCTTCCCAAAGGGTGAAGGCGAGCATTCCATGCTGCAACAGCGGACAGCCATAATGAACGAGCTTAAAAAGAAGTCACCAGACTTGCCAAATTAAAAAAAAGAATGGAGGTGACCTTCCCTCACAGAAGGATGATGATCAATGAAAAGAATCCTCTCTCGAAAATAAAGGAGGAATATCCAGCTCTTTTCAATTATAAAGAGGTAAATAGTTCATTCTTCATTTTTTGCAACATTATTGACAAAAATATCAACTATATACACTTTTTACCCCCCATGATCATCAAGAAACTGTTATCTCAATTGTACATATAACGTTCTCTCTCCTGTATCTTAAGATGATCGCAGAGTTTGAGAGAATCCTGAACATAACCACTGTAATAATTAAACACACTCTGATTTCATATTTTAT